AAATAAATACCTGCTTTGGGACAGTGGGCTGTCCCGAGAAGGAGCCTGAGGACAGGCCTGGGCGGAGCAGGACGCAGAGCAGCTGTGCCTGTGGCTACGTCTGTGTCTGAACAGACAGATCTGCCCACAAACCACCAGCAGCGACCCAGAGGAGCCCCAGGAGGCACCCCAATTGCCAGGCTCAGGGGCTCCCCACAGAGGTGGGACACCAGCACCCACCCTCTCCGGTGAAGGAGTGGTTTCCAGGTGACTCATATGAGTAAAATGCAAAAAGTAAAATAGAGACTTAGCGTTACTCCAAGTGGGTTAAGTGCCAGGTCTCTCATTGTGTTCTGACTTATCTCAGGATCAGAGAAGGAAGTAAGAAACGACTTGGCTTTAGTTCTCTCAGAACCAGAGCTGCTCTGCCCTTTTCTTTCTCTGTGACAACTGTTGCCGGGGCTTGACTTAAGTCGTGAGTGCAGTCACCTCCCAAATTACGGCTGCTGCTGTAGCAGAGAGGCAGGATGGAGCCGCAGTGATGAGCGGGCTCTCAGCACGCATCCAAGTGCTTCTGCCCGTTACATGATTCCCAGCACAGGGCCATGCAGTGCCCACTGGTCCTGGAGGTGCACTGGGCAGGCGCAGGTCCTTGGGGAGAGGGAGCGACACATTGCTCAGCGGCTGAGTGGTCTCCTCTGGACTCTTCCTGCAGGGCTCTACGTGCTGGTTGGAGCAGGGGCCCTGATGATGGCCGTGGGCTTCTTCGGGTGCTGTGGGGCCATGCGGGAGTCGCAGTGTGTGCTCGGATCAGTAAGTGGGGCACAGGGAGTGGGGCGGGGGGCGGGGGCTGGGGTGAGGGCGCCTGCTGTCTGGCCTGGGCTCTGCTCCTCTCCGCATGGACTCACTGTGCCCTTGGCACTCAAGCGCTCTCCCTGAGTCTCATTTCCCCATCCCTTGCATAAGAATAATATTATCATTGTCCCTGCCTCAGATGGGAAGTGTGAAAAAACAAGGTCATTAGTGTAAAGATGTTTGGGAAGGAAAAGTGCCTAGTAATTGTGTGAGGTGATTATGATTGTTCTTTCAAAAATAATAGTTCACAGAGGGGGAGACAGGGAAAGATGCCTAGAGCCGGGGAAATGCTGTTATCCACAAGACAGGCGTTCCCATTTGAGTTCAGAAACTTAGCCAAATAGCCCTCTTGTGAGTTTTAACAGTCTCTGTTGAACTAAATGAATGAATAAATAAATAAATAAATA